ACTGCTGTTTAATTTGACATCAGATTCTCTGTGGCAAAGACCTTACCAAACACAAACGAATTACAATTTACTCACACATCTAGTATTATACACATCCCTATACCTAGATCTATACCTTATAGACAGGAGGAAAAGACTGCAAGTGGCTTTGTTGCAAATAGATGAGTAATAATGGCGGCCTAACGGGCTTTTTTACGGTCCCGGTCCTCCAGAGCATAGTGTACACACATTTTCTATTCTTATTGAATTGCAACATGATTCATAAAAATGTCGTTTCATAATCAATGATTACAATAATTGCAATATATATTATCCAATCAGAGAGCATGCTATAACGTATCGCTCTTTTCGTGCCGCTTTTCTATAGATTTTTACTGGGAATACAAACAAGGATGGTGTTGTGACAAACACCCTGGCAGTACCAACCAAGGCTAAGTTTGTAGGATTTTACCCTACAAAATATAATGGCTTTCCAGCTATGAGGGTTGAAGTGTATGGTGTACCTGTTGGTAGGTTATTGTTATTTTTTGTTAAGTTTTGTATTCTTAGTTTTACACACTCTACAATGTATATTTCAGATTTGACGCTTTAGTAAAAAGCACTGTACACAAACACACACTTTTATACGGGCTCTCTGATTGGTCGAATGTTATTGTTAATTTCACCGGTAAAAGCACGGATGCGAAAATGCTATAATATAAAAGCAATAAACAACACATTTTCGTGCGTTCCTGGGAAAACACTCAAAAGGCTGAAAATCTCTTGCCTCTGGCTCGAGATTTTTTACGCCTTTTTCGTATTCTCCCAACATCCCGCGTGGTTTATTTCACCAGGAACACACGAAAATTTTTAATAGATGAATACTCTAAAAATACTTTGGAATGTCCATCTGTTTTGAACAAGAGTAAAAACCAACAAAAAGATAAATTTAACGCGGTTAAAAAATAGATAAAACAACTTACTGACGTTTCGGACGTTAATTCTTCGTCGGAGTAAAGGACGCTAAGGATTAACGTTCGACGAAGGATTAACGTCCGAAACGTCAGTAAGTTGTTTTATCTTTTTTTTACGGCGTTAAATTTATCTTTTTTCACAACTGTTTCTTAAGAAACACCGACGCAGCTCACACAAGCTTACCGCTAGTTTCCACCAATGGCTATTGCTAGCAATTGTTATCGATAGCGAATTTTGAATTAAGTCATACTCGTGATGTTACATAATAAATGAAAATAGTTTTTGATGGCTAAACGGCATTGGAGTACTTGAAAGACGATCACAATCAGTGGATCAATAGAACATTTAACTATGGAGATTCTTTCTAAGTCTCTCATGGTTTCCCCAAAGAAAACATCAGAAGAATCAGATACAAATTCAATTTCTTTCAGTATGTGGGAAACCATTTGGTCTCGAAAGGGGTGGCAACTTGGGGAATATCGTGGTAACAGCATCATCTAAAGTAGATGACTCCCATGATGCATCTGATGGACGTCTCTATGGTGATGCGTCATGGTGCAGTAGTACCTCATCAAACTCAGAGTACATACAGATTGACTTTAGGAAGATGGCTACACTGACTGGTATAGCTACACAGGGTGACCACATCGATGATAAATGGGTGAAGACTTACATCCTTAAGTACAGTTTTGACGGAAGTCAATGGAATGATTACAGAGATGGCGGAAATAATGCAAAGGTATCTGTGTGCTGTTTAATGATGGGGAAAAAAAACTTGCACTGTATTTTTCTGTCGTATGATAAAGCTGTAAGGAACAAAATTTGTAACTGAATTACCTAATTGACAGTTACTTTTCGAATACTGATGACAAGGTTTTAAATTTTATTTCTATACTTTTTTATAGAAAAAGAAAGTTAAAGTCGAGTATATCAGAACGAATATCTAGATGATTTATAAGCTATGTCATGGCTGCAATTTGCCATTTTTTGTTTTTGTTTCATCAATTAAAACATTTTGTTCTCTCAAGGTTTTTCAGGGCAATTCTGATAAGAGTGGCATTGTTGTTAGATGGTTGAATCGTACAACCACAGTCAGATTCATCAGAGTTCATCCCCAGACCTGGAATAGTGATATATGCATGAGACTAGAACTGTTTGGATGCCCATCGCGTGAGTTAACTATTTATTGTATTTCAAAAACTATGTACAAACTAAATAATGCCATTTAGTTGTATTTAGTAAATCATGCATGCGGTACGCAAATTAAATTGGATTGATACAAATGAAGCATTCAATACTGTCTTGCTTCAGGTCCACTTTTAGTACAAATTAGTACTACTTAGATTTTGTACAGTTGCATGGCTTAAGTGCGATCACTCTACTCTAGCTTTTATTCCGTTGATAATTTATATGAAGTTGTTTTTCGTTTTCAGCTTCGACCCTGAAAATATCAGAATTATCAAATAAAAACCTTACAGCGTCAAGTGGCAGTTCTGTTACTTTAACTTGCAAGGTACAAGAACCCTTAGTACAGTCCATTGAATGGAGCATTGACGGTAAAGTTGTAACAGATCTCTCAGGTGGTATTGAGCGTGACGCAACTTCAGTCAAGTCTTCACTGCTTGTAAACTACACCAGTGCTGCTCGTGTGTTCGCAGATAGTACTCGGTAAGCATTTATCGATGAAAGATGGTGGTGATGACACCAGGGCGACGGCAGTTATCGATGTCATCACTTGTTGGTGTAATTATCATTCAGTAGGTATTTTGTGAATGTTTTGTTCAATGCTAACTCAAATGTTTTATTGAAGATGCTCGAAAGAAGCAAAGTTTGTAATATGCAGAAGAAATATAGTGTGCAAAGTAAGATATACGAAGAACAGCAACTCTGGAGAGTCCATCCAAGGTGCAGAGGTCCAGATTCGTCTTGGTGAGTTTTCATGGTTTTGGGTGCATGAATATGTTGTTCAATATTAGTAATGAATGGCTGTTGTATTGCTGAGAAAACGTGCATTTTGTCTTTAAATCACTAGTACTTTTGTATGTGTAATTAATATTTTGTTTTCTTTAATCCAGATTATCCATTTGCTCCTTCATTACAGCCTATTAACATCATTTCCACCAAGTCAATAAAAATTCGTTGGACAATAGCTTCTAAAACGGAATCACAAGAAAATGTCGATAATTTTCTCATAAAGTACTGGAACCACACAATAGGAAACACGATGAGTGTGACAAAAAATCTTAGAAGCTCTGATGTATCTGGTTTATCAGCTTGTACTCGCTATAATGTCTCAGTCAAGGCTGTAAGTCGTCTAGGTGATGGACCATGGAGTAACACTTTAAGCTTTAGAACAGAATCTGCATGTAAGTTATATTTTTTTTTTATTTAAATTTTTGCACTTACTCTTTACGTAGTTGTTTATTCCTTTTTTGTTTTCGTTGAAACAGTACCTATACCTCCCTCTGGTGTTGGTAAAAAGTCGAAAACATCTCAAAGTATTCATGTAGAATGGCAGGTATTTTTACAACATATTTCATGTCAGCTCCATCAGTCCACCAAAGTTTGACTTCGACTGATAACATTTTTGTTTTTAATCCAATTTTCGTACATTTGTTCTTGTAAGTCAAAGCTGTGTTTAATGGTGTATAGGTTCCTGCTGGAATCAGATGTCCACCCAATCGATTCCGAATTTCCTACTCAACTTCAAAAGGGGGAACTTGGACGGAAAAAATTGTCAATGGTGGCAAGACCACTTCTTATGACATTCAAAACCTGGCGAAATGGACAGATTATTACATAAAGGTTGAAGTTGGCAACGAAAAAGGATATAGTTCACCAAGTCTTCCTATAAAGGAGCGTACCGCAGAAGATAGTAAGAATAGTGAATTTCCTCATGAGGGGGAGCAAGGATGGCCGAGCGGTTAAAACGCCGGTCTATCACCCCTGTGGTCCTGGTTCGATTCCCGGTCCGGGACTATATGTGATTTGAGTTTGTAGGCTGGTTCTCTTCCTTGCTCCGAGGGTTTTTCTCCAGGCCCGCTGGTTTTCCTCCCTCAGTCAAAAAAACTAGCTGTGAGGAGTGTCGTGTAGTAAAATAATGAATGTTGAGGTAGTGAGTGTGAGTGAATATATAGAGGGCTACAAGTTTATTA